ACTAGTTGTGTTGGATCCAGCGTGTAGACCCTGATCCTAGTGGAGTCAGTCCCCGTAATGACATAACCAGAGTCAATAGGGGGTTTGGTTCAATAACCTTAAAAAGCTTCTAGTAGGAATAAGCTTCGCGCCCTGGCTGCATGGGGCCAGATGCACTCCAGTGGCCCCCAGCTCCCAGGCCGAGCGGCAAGAGAACATCCAGGCGTGTTTACGGCTAGACGCTGTCTCCTAGCACCTTGTGGGGGCTTCCGGCTCCTGGAAAGGAACCTCTTGGGCTGCACCGAGGCCAGAGAAACACAACAGGGTTCCAAAAGCAGCTTTAATTAACGTTAACAGCGAAGCCCATTCAATGGAGTACACGGCCGGGAGGACACGGCCGCAGTTCCGGGAAAGTGAGGCTCAGCGGTGCAGATGGGGGCGCTCGTCCCCGATTTTCCTGCGTGGCCGCACGGAGCCAGGCCTCTGTGTCCCAAAAGGAGGCCCAGGGGCAGGCACGTGGTCAAGTGCGCCTCTGCGTTCCTTCCACAACTCCGGGTAAGGACCGTCTTGCCCACCAGGCAGGGAAGCAAGAAAACTGTGTTCTAGAAGGATCAAAAAGCTACACGAAACAAGCGTGGCAGGTGATCAAGACCACGGACTTTGGCCACGTGTGGTTTTCGCCTCTTAACAACAGTGCCGCCTTGGACTAGTCACTTACCTTCTCGGAGCCTTGTTTCGCTCATTGTAAAAGGAAGGTGACACTTGACCACGAGAATCAGGACAGAGATGAGGGACAGGGGCCGTGTCGAGCCTCTAACCCAGGCCCCTCTGCATCCAGTGCCTCAGCACGGGGCCTGTCGTGGCTGAATTCACTGGAAAAATGTGTATACTCAGCATTCGTTCATAAAGGCAGTGCTTTGCATACTGTATCAGTCAGGGATTTCCAGAGAAAAAGACCCACGAGGACGGAATACATACATGCAGTCGGTTGGCCCCCAGGACTGTGGGCGGGGGCAAGCCTGCAATCTGCCGAGGCAGCCAGCGGGCTGGAGACAGAGGCAGGGTCACTTCTTACTCAGGAAACCTCAGGTTGTGCTTTTAAGGCCTCCAACTGACTGGCTGCGGCCACCCACAGCAGCGAGGGTGACCTCTGCAAAATCAGCGGATTTCGGACGTTAGTCATTTCCCCAGAACACCTGCATGGCAACATTTTGACAAGCGTTTGACCAAACAATGGGCACCCTAGACTGGCCACGGGGACACACAGATTACCATCACGTACCTGTTATTCCTTTAAGCCTCCCCAAACGGAACCCCTGAGTCAGGATGTGTGGGCCTGTGGTGGCAGGGCCGCAGGACACCCCCAAGATCCCTGTCCCTGGTGCGTGTGCCCCGTGTGGTCCTGTCCCTGTGAGCATGGCAGAACTGGGAGCATGATGGATGTCACTCCAGGACTGGGTTACCTTACACAGCAACGGGATTTTGCATATACAATTCAGGTTACTAATGAGGTGCCTTTGAGTTAATTCAGAGGGAGATTATCTGGTGGGCCTGACCTAATCACATGAGCCCCCAAAGTCTAGGTCCAGAGATCAGAGACAGAGATGAGAGAGGTTTGAAGCCTGAGAGACGTGGAGGAGGCTGTGTCGCTGGCATTGAAGAGCTAGGGGTCCTCATGGCCGAGTTCATGGCCTGTGGGAGCTGGGAGAGGCCCCTGCCCGACAGTTGGCAAAGAAGTGGAGACCCCAATCCTACAACTGCAAGCAATCAGACTCTCCCCAGAACCTCCAGGAAGGAACACAGCCTGGTTGACACCTTGCTTTCAGCCGGGCAAGACCCAGCAGGCCGTACCTGGACTTCCGACCTGCAGAACTGTGAGCATTAAGTGCTGTTTTAAGCCACTGAGTTTTTGGTAATTTGTTACTAGCATAGACAGCTAAAACAGGGGCCGATTCACGGTAGGGACTCTGATACACCAGGGGCAGATGGGCTTGCCAAGGACATTGATCCCAGCAGGGGCAGCTTCGCGGGCGTGCGACCTGCACCATCACATGTGCCTGGCACTTAGGAGGGCCGCACACTGGGTTTCATTTCTGCTGTCGCTGTCTTGAAATTTTTGATCATTTTTGCATGAGAGGCCTCACGTATTCATTTTGCACCTGCCGTGGAAAATCGGCAGCTGGTCCTGCCTCTAAGAAATAGGCATGCATACCTACCATGCGCCAGGCGCTGTGCTCAATGGTCCCTCCCTGCAGGGGGTTTCCGCCATGATCCAAGAGGGACAGATTATCACAGAAAGCTACCATTGAGATAAGAGTTCCTACTCCGAGATACAAGGTGTGGAGAAAACAGAGCTGGGATCCTGCCCTGATGTGAGAGGGGGTGACCTAGCCAAGAGGGCGGGGAGCTCAGGGCAGAGCCAGCAGCAGGGCAGAGGCCCTGTGGTCTGGGGTGAGGGCACTTGAGGAAGAAGATTGGAGGGCCTGGAGGGCCAGGGAACATCCTCCGCCCCCAGGATGAGACGGGCCCCTTGCTCCACGCTTCCGGCGGAGGTCCTCATGCCGCCCCACTGGAGAAGGCGGCAGCCGCGTCCCCGTCTTGGGGGGCAGAGTGTCCACGTCGGCTGTCTGGAATTCTTCTGCATGGGAGGGTTAGCTCCTCTCTCCAGCTTATTTATTTATTCGACGTTTTTATTCAGTGTGGTCTCATGGATATTTGTTTTTACTCCGAGTTATGGTCCGAGACTACTTCATTTTGTTGCTCAAATTCTCCCAGCCTCGACCACCGGGAGCTCTTTCAGTTGGCCCCTGCGCTCCTCCGACATGCTCTCGTCGCCGTGGGCGGCTGCTGTTATGATTTGTTCAGCGTTTCCTTCCTTTCTGGCGCTGCGAGGCACCCCTGGGTCATCGTGCACATTCCTGTCCCAGTCCTACAATGAGCTACTTCTCTGAGGAGCGTCGGCTCCTTGCAGCCGGTGACAGTGACGTTGGAAGCGAAGCCGTGGGTGCAGGTGTGCTCACCGCTATGGGATGTCCCTGCTTCTAGGCCCTCTCAGCTGACAGGGTAAGGAGGGCTGCGCCTGCACACCGGCCCACGCGCGCACACGTCTGTGAATAGTTGCGCGTGTAATCACCTGCGTGCACGTGCAGCTCAACGTGAGTTCGTGCTGATGTCACCAACGAGAAGCCATCACCACGTGGACCCCCCCCATGCCTGTCTCACTCCAGCAGGGGTGTGGAGAGTCCAGATGTGCACTCGGGCATCAAGCTAAGCTCTTAGACCCACATCTGGAACCTGGACGCTGGCTCCCAGTCCGCCACCCACTTGCCTCTTTGTGCAGCTGCAGGGGGTAGGCGTGTTGGCATCAGAGCTGCTCATCAGTGCCCCTCCCCAGCCCCTGGCACGACCCTATGAGCCTTGGTCTCACCCGCCCCGCTCATTCCGAAGTCACTGAGGCCAGCACCTGTCCTGGTCAGTGAGGTTGTCTCAGACGTTGGTGACGCAGCTAGATCATTGGGTCACGTTCCGAATTCCTTCCTGGGATGGGGGGGTGTTGTCATGAGTTAACGAGCACTACGGCTCTGGCTTTCTGGAGGAGGGCCAGGGAAGGTCTGTGTGGGGCCCCGGGGGGACAGTGCTTTGTCGGTGACTGCCTCCTGCTGGTCTCACCAGCCCCCCTGGCCCAGAGTTAAAGTGGGAGGGGCGTTAAGGCCAGGAGTGAAAGTAGCTCATTTGATGGAGACTTAGTGAGTCTCTGGGTTTAAGTTAGCCCCACTTTGGTGCTGCCCAGGTGACAAAGTGCCACCCCAAGTCAGGGCGAGGACTCTAGCCTAACTCTGCAAACACCTGTGGGGCTGGGAGTTCTGGGTGGCGACTCCTTGGCAGGTGTGTCCATCGTCCTGGCCAGCAGTGACAGTCCCCTGCGCAGCTCCCGGGAGGGTGCGGGTTCATGTGCATACGTGGAGGCTGACGCAGGAGGGCAGGGCAGGGGCAGCTTTGACAGGACAGCAGCTAGCAGGCTCATGGGAGGTCCATAAATACCTGGGAGCTCTGTGAGGGGCTGGGCTGGTTCCCGGGTGAGTACTGAGGTCCGTAACCGGTATCGCATTTTAGTGCCAATATTCAGCCGGCCCCCAGCTGTCTGCTCGGGTTGACAAGGGGCTGGTGAGTGGAGGGGGTAGAGCAGAGCTGCTCACGTGCCGGCCCTGCTGCTTGCTAACCCCGGGACCTGGGGCCAACACTTGACTTCTTCCCGCGTGGGCTTCCACATCTGTAAAGTTTGCAGCAGTAATAATCATAGTCCCTGCCTTAAAGGGTTGTGTGAGGATCAGCCTTATTAATTAATTAGAAGGGCACTCGGCACACAGCGATGGCCTATGAGGTGCCAGCGATGATGATGAGGAGGAAGATGAACATTGGCATCCCAGGCTGTTGGGGTCTATGGCCCTGGGGCCCCAGTTGGAAGAAATTCACGACTTTCCTCTTGGGAGTCCACCACGGGGTTCATGCACCCTACCAGTGACCGGTGTACAGTCTCAAGGCCCTTTCCACAGTGACTTTCAGGCCCCGACTCTGCCAGGCACAGGGGACGAGGCTCCTCCACAGCTGGACCTGGGCGTGCGTGGTCACGTGCAACACTCCGGGCATCACCTGGAAGCCCCTTCCTCTCCTCCACAGGGAACCCGATTGGGATTCCTGAAGAGTGATTCTGTTTGTAGAGGTGACCCTGAGCCTACCCTAATTCATTCAAAAAAGGGAAATGTCACACGCTTTGGTATTTCTTGAGCGACACTTTCTTGTGCCTCCACACACAGGTGCACCAGGGTTACCTTACCGTGGATCCCCGCTGGGCGGGACTCTGGCCCACGGAGCCCCGGCTCTCCCCGTCTGTGAAACTCCGGGTGCAGTTAAAAGATTGCCAAGCCAGTTCTAGCACTGACACTCCAGGACACCCCGTTAAAACAAACAGGAGCCAAGCAGTTGATTAACCCAGGTTCTATTTTTCCATTTGGACACTGCAGGTTTTTCCTAGTGGATCTTAAAAACAAACCCTGGAAGGGCCTTTTACCTTTTCCCGGGATTACGTTGTAATCCAAACAAATACGTAAGAAGCAAGAAAACAGAAACGGTGAGATGAGAGTTTAATGCAGCGTGTTCCGGGGCCCGAGCGACGTATCGTTGTCTGTGCAGATGGCACCGCGTCACGATGGGTTCGTCTCGGCATCTCTCCTCTCCTCCCCCAAGCGTCTTTGGCCTCACGGGCCCCTTTCGCAGGAAAACCACTCAACACGCCAGAAAAGCCACGGGTCTGCTCTTCCGTGGGCCGCCCGGAGCAGCGCGGCTCTTAAGCATGTCGGCGAAGACGGAGACTCAAAGAAGGGCAACCTCAGAGCTGCCTTTGGCTCTTGTACGGGAATTCCTCACCACGGCCGCCCCTTCCAGGCACGTTGGTGCTGACAAACTCACCGGACTCGGTCACTGTTTTACAGCTTCCTGAGAGACCCCGAGCCAATCAAAGCAAAGCGCATGACCGTCCTGATGTCAGGATGGCGGCATCCGCGCCCCATCTCAGCCCCCTCCCCCCACGCAGTCCCCTGGAGTCCCCTGTGGCTTCTTCTCAACCCCCCGCGGCCGGCAGTCCATGGGATAGCCACGCGCTTGTGTCTCTGGGGCTCGCCACCTCCCCGGCTGGGCTTGAACTGCTTGGGGCGGGGACTCACTCCTCAACCACGTAGATGGCTGTGCGTGGGGCATCGGGGGGCGTCTCTGTGGGAGCTTGGGTCCTGTTACCCCACTTCCCTCAGCCTTGGCCTTGTCATCAGTGAAGTGGGGCTGATGATTGTCCCCGATCAGAGGTGCCATCATAATTTTTATTTTAGAGATGAGGACTTGGCTCACTAACCTTTGATAACCACTGCCTTAGTTGTCGGTAAGTCATTCATCTATCCCTAAACCGTCCATCGATCCATCCATCCATTTGTCTTCCTTCCATCCAACCAGCAAACATCCACCCATCCGGCAGCCACTAGGCATCTCCAGGAGGTGGGGAAAGGCCACAAACTGATGCCTACATTTCAACCCAGGAGGGTCAGGGGCAGCAACTGGGGCCCAGGAGAAGGAGGGCCCATTGTCGAGAGGGAGGGTGGGTGGTGGGTAGAGGGAGGCCACTAGGAGAAGCAGTTGGCCCCAGAGCGTGGATGCAACCTGCTGGCTCGGGGGACTCTAGTGCAGGCCACGGTGAGGGAAGCTAAGGTTTAAGAGTGAAAAAGAAACAAACAAAAGCAAAATGACTTTATCTTTTGCTAAAACTGCAGCAGTGTTTCATAATCCTGAGGTCTCGGGACAGCTGAACTTGCTGTATCTAATGGAGCGTGGCGGGGACAGCGTGGGCGCTTATCCGGAAATCTTCCGTCTGAAGAGATGCAGATGCTGCCGCCTCCGCTCCCGGGCGGGGACATCCATCCACCTGAGCCTGGCACCCTGTGGCGTCTCGGTGGAGCTCGGGGCTGGTATCGCTGGACTGGATCTGAGTAATTAATAATTTGTTCCCAGGACAAGGTGGCGGGGCTGATAGCATCTCGCCTGCGGCTGAGGTTTCTCCCTCTTGCCCTCTCAGCGCGCAGTTCGCCCTGCACCCTGGTGGCTCTGTTTCTTGTCCAGTGAGGGCTCAGAGACCCTCAGGGTCTTTCGCCTGGAGCGTGAGGTGCCCTCCTCTGCGGCCCTGGCAGCGGAGTGGAGTGGGGCATTTCTTTAGCCACTCAAGCTGGTTTTCCCTCTGTCTCTTCCTTCCCCCATTTCCGGCAGCTCACTGGGCCCTTTTCGTCCCCGGCCCCAGGGCAGGTGTGTGTCACAGGCGCCCAGGTGGCGGCCACCTGCCAGAGCTTCTTCCTTCCATAAAATGCAGCCGCAGGTACTGGCCCTGTGCAATTCAGAGTTTTCACAAAAAACCTGGGACCCCCGGGTGACCGGGCCCTGCATCCCCACGCGGCCACGGGGGCTGGGGCTGAGGACCAGCTGCAGCCCTCAGAGGGCACGGCCTTGCCCGCCTGCCTGTCGCCCCACCCGTGGGCACGGGCAGCTCTGGGGCTGGTGTCCTCGAGGGGCTGCAGAGAGAGGGGCAAGGGGTGCTTTGGTAGGGAAAGGAGAAAGATGGAAAACGAGGAAGGCCATTCATCCCTCGCTCAGGGACCAGGGTGGCCAGAGGAGAGGTCGAGAGCTCTCGGGGGCTGGTCAGCGAGACCTCGCCAGCCGCGCCAACGGGCACCTGTTTGGTGAGCAGTGGGGGCAGGTGCACCCGGCACCATTCTGCTCCCAGCACCACGGTGGGCTGGGGCAGGCAGCAGATGGGGGCGTCACCCCGGGACACAGCCCTGCGTGGGAAACCTGCCTCCTCCCTGCTGCTCCGAGACTGAGCCGAGACCTCGGGGAGGGCCCAGCCGACGCCACAGTTCCGACCCCCCAAGTGCGGCCCGCGGTAGGGTGTCAGTGCAGGCTGACGCGTGAACAGAGCAGCCGGCACGTCGGGTCACTCTGTCCTTCCCTGCAAGGCACAAGCCTGTGGAAGACGAAGCCATGGCAGAGCCTGTGGGAACAGAATTAATCAATTCAACTGGTAAATATTAGTTGAGGGGACAAGGCCTGGAACAGAAGGGGCTCCTGGGTGACCAGAACAGACTGATCGAGGGGAGGCGGCCTGGGGCCTTGGCCATATCTGGGTATTTTCTAAGTACAGTGGGACCTTCCTTCTAGTGCCACATGCGCCTGGGCACAGGTCGGGGTGCCCCTGGCAGTTAGAAAGTCACCCACGTCCTTCTGACCATCAGCCCTTGATTGACAAGGCCGAGGGGGGTGCCACCGAGTCCCGGGAGGGGGGCGAGGCAGGGAGGCTGGATGCCTGGGAAAGTGATGGCCTCTTTATTCCCACACTAAAGCCCCATTTTTAAAAAAGGTCTTAAAAATTAATGGACAAAATATCGAGCTCTCAGCCTTGGCAGCAGAAGGCTAAATGCTGGTGCACTTTGTCGCGGTGACAGATTCAATGGACGTTCATTTCTAACAGGGTGGACCTCATTTGAATGGAGACAGCAGCCATCAGTTCAGTGACTGGTTGTGCTGTCATAGGCTCGAGGTCAGCCGGGCTCAGAGCGCTGCCTGGCTGCTCACCGGTGGCACTGTCGGCTTCCGAACCGTGGCACGTGTGGGTCGCTCCCAGCCCCACGGCAGGGGGGTGCGGGGGGCCTGTCCCGGGGGTGAGCAGGAGTTCTGTCTCCGACACCGACTTTAGAGCTGCTCACGGAAGTTCTGAAAGTCAAACTGTTTCACAAAGTACAAAATAATATATGCTCAGGGTAGTGCAAAACAAATTAATCATGACTGAAAGAAATACAATAAAAAGAAAAGTGTTCCCATCTCCTTCACCCCGTTACAGTCTCCGGAAGTTTTCCACATTTATATGCACCCAGGGGGATGTACCGCCTCTATCTGAACAGCCTCAGCGGGGTCCTCGTGGGTGTGCGAACTTGCACTAGCTCTGTGCCCTGAGGGGTCCACGGGGCGCCTTCCCTTATCAGCTTCCCCGAGGGGAGGACCCGTCCGTCTCGGAGCCGGCGCAGCGCCCGTCTGCAAGCAGCAAGTGCCTGCGTTGGGTGGGGCTCAGCCCGGCCCTGGCTAGTCTGCCCCCAGCGCGTGCCCTCATCCTGGGGCGCCCTTCGCAGGTTGAAGCTGGGGGTGTGGACGTGGTCAACTCACGGCTGTCACAGTGCTGCAGCAGAGGGGCTTGGAGACCTTACACACATGCACCCGTGTTCTGGGAGGGTGCATCCCTGGAAGTGGAAGCGTTAAGCCAACGGGCACACGTGCTGTTAACTTTGGTGCGTTCTGATGGCCACTGTCAAACCACTGCCCCTCCGAGGAGAGGGACGAGCCCTGTCTCCTGTCTGGCACGGTCTCAGTTCCCGTTCCCCGACCCGCTCCACATTCTCCCCATCCCCCAGAAGGCACAGAGCCGGCCTGGTGGGTGGTGAGTCCGGCGGTCTCTGCGCCTCTGTTTCCTTATCCGTACGGGGGCTAGTGACGGCACTCACTGCCGACTCAGGGCTTCGGGAACTCGCCTCCCAGCCACCAGGATGCCAGGTGCACGCGGGGCACGGAGAGCAAGCTGCGGTCTCGGGACAGGAGTGCGCCGGACTCCGGAAGGCCTGGCAGCGATGTCCAGGCTGGCTCTGCCCTTGGCGCTGTCTCGGGGGTGCTGGGGAGAGGCGCAGCCTGCCCACTCCAAGCAGGCCGCCCCAGCCCACGGTCCTCTCCTCTTTTGAAGTCCCAGAGACGAGGTGGTCTGTTCAGTTACACACAGGCAAATAGGGGCCCAGAGAGGTGAAGTAACTTGCCCAAGGTCACACAGCTTGTCACATTATAAAGGAGCTCTGCCACTTCTGCTCCTCCCAAAGCACAAAATGTCTTTGTCTCTTCTTACATAAAAGAGGAACCCTGCTGTGGCCGGACAGAGCCTGACAGCCAGAGTGATCCTCCTCTGCTGATTTCCGACTTTGGGCAAATCGCTTTCCCTGTCTGTGCCTGCAGATGCCACAGCAGATGAAGGGGGAGGCACAAGATCACTCAGTAAATGCCGGTACATTTATGAGCGCTCTGTCCCCCTGTCCATCCATGCTGTGGCTGAGGCCCAGGACCCATGCAGCAGGGCTGAGCTGGCGTCAGCACCTTGTGCAGCCGCAGCCCCTCCCCCTGGATCCGGCGCCAGCAGTGCACAGGTGAGCAGTTCAGGCCGTCCCCCTCCCCTGAAGCTACAGGTGAGTCTGGGAACTCAGTGCAATGGGTGCTGTTGTCATGACAGCCCCACAGTTGAGCAATTTTATCATCGTCTTGTAACTCATCCACAACATCTGACCTTTCGATTCAGAGAATAATTAATGGCACAATTTGGATGATGCTTGAAGTGTCAGGTTTTTAATTAATACGCCAGGCTGAATATATTTAGCTGGATCATTCTGCCTGGTCCATCCAATTACCCAGACTCATTATGCAACTCGATTGCATTTCCCATTACTCGGTGACTTTGCTAAATGGGCATCCATGCTGCAGACAGACAGCCCAGCACCAATATTGATTAGTGAGCACAGTTTATTACCCAGCGGAGGCGGAGTTTGGGGCTATAAATCTCCTGCTGGACAGGGCTTCGCTGCAGCCTCCGGGCGGGCGGGGGCGGGGGACGGAATTGTATTTGGATGAAGCATCTCAACCATCGACCCTCCTTCCAAACTTCCTCTGTGTCCTGCCTTTTGTTTAATTGAATTGCCTTTCCCCCTGCCAACCCCATCCCCCGTAAGCATAATCAGGGGCTCCTCCTGCTTTAATAGCTAAAACGGTTGCACGGTATTTTTCATCTTTCCCTGGGCTCCAAAATGGCACAAACCGTTGAGCTTGCCAGGGAACATTCGGGATCAGCCGCAGGAGGAGGCTGGCGAGCCTCCTTTGTCCTTGCCGGCTGTGGGTTGGGTCCCGTGCCAGGCACACCTCCACCTGCTCTGCAGTGGCCTCGCACCCTCAGGCCAAGAGGGAAGCAGCAATCAGCTCAGCTGGTCACCCCGAAACTTGTTTTTAAGGTGATGATTTTAATTCCAAGGGGAGCAACACTGCCTTCCCCGCAGTGCCTAGGGTGTTCTTTCCTGCGGGAGACCCTTCCTCCATTTCCATCACCCCGTCCACGCTGGGTCAGTCTGTTTTCCCAGGGTGGGACACAGAGCACGGTGGGGGTGAGGGGAGGGAAAGAAAGAGTAAAGGATGGGGCACGACTGAGCTGTTCTCTCTCCTCTGCATAAAGCTGGTGAGTGCCAAGTCCTCGACAGGCACATTTGTCATCTCCAGTCCTCAGACAACCCGGGAAGTACGTGTTTGGATTATTTATTTATTTTTACCTTTTATTTTTTTAGATAAGTTTAGACTCACGGAAGAGTGGCAAAAGTAGTACACAGAGTTCCCAGAGATCCCCTCACCCAGCTTCTCCTTATTAACACTAGCGTAAGTGTTTTAACCAGCAGTCTGTGGGGCGAAA